ACACACACACACACACACACACACACACACACATATACACACACACACACAATCACACACACACAAACACATACACACACTCACAGGATATTCCTCCGCCAGTACTTTGTCCAGGTCCTCAGTCTTGTAGTTGATTGGCCGGTCACACCCAAGAGTCTGGGAAATACAGAACAATACATTTCATATATGAGATCAATAAACATGCATCAGATCATTAGATATACATGATATAATTTATACACAGGCATGAGATCAATAAATATTTATGAGATCTATACATATGTATCATGACACTGTGGAATCAGGCTCTTGTCAATTTTTGGACATGTAGAGTTATTTATATTATCTTATAGCTTGTTCATTTGTCTTGCTTTGGATGAAAAAAATATTCATTTATCTTACATAGAAGTCAAGATATTTGCGAATGAAGAAGGTGGGGTCACCTGGTTTCAGAGGTAAAATAAGTAAGAAAATGGCCGCCAAAGATGAGTTATTCTGGAGAGTCTGTGAAAACTGAAAATTTACATTTTTTTATGCCTTTAATCAATATTTTTCAGTAAAATCCACACTGAAATGTGTTCTTTAATGGGCATGAAAGGTGTTGCATCAAAAAGCGAAAATTCTATAAAAATTTATAGATCTAGACCTGCGGAAAAAATGCCAGTTTCTTCACTTCAATTATTTGGACGAACACCTGATTTCACCCCGATGCCTCACATATGCATGAGATGAACATATTCATGAGATAAATATACATGTATGAGATCAATAAATACGCATGATCTCAGTACATACGCTTGACATCAAACTATTATTAAATTAGTGGGTGGTTGGCAGAAATTCTGGTGTGATTTGCTCTTTCTATTTTTATCAAACATTTATCGTGCTTATCTCTCGTCCTTCTTTTCTTGGTATGTTACTCTCTTGGAACACCTCTTATCTTCGGCATTTATATGAGACATTTATAATGTTAAAGTCTTACTAAAACTATACTAAAACTGGAACAGTCATTGTTTTTTAAAATGCTAGCAAGAGTTTTACGGCACTTGCAACACAATAAGGTCATATAATTGCCAGCACTGTTGTTATGGTAATTGTAAATGTTGTAAAAAAAACCTGGTAGAGTGTTGGAGAAAGCAAGTGTTTATAGTCCGGAATATAACAAAGTAAAGAAAACAATCTCTAAGTGGAATCAAACGAAAGTGTAATTACTCTCGTTTGTTCTTGCTGGTTATTCAAATCCCAATGAAAATTTTCAATTCTTATTATCCTAAGTACTATGTCCTCGCCTCTTACCAACCTTGAGAAACTCCACCTTATCCTCACTGGAACATGTCCCAATCACGTGGGTACCCGCCATTTTTGCAAGTTGAACCTGTGGTGTCATGATAATCATAACGATAAAGGTGATAATAATAATAAAAATCTTAATAACAATAAAAAGAAGAAGAATTTGAAAAAAATAACGATAATGATAATAATAAAGTCGATAGTAATAATTAAAATAATGATGATGATAATAATAATTTAATGATAGTAATAATAATCAAAATCAGAAAGATGAAAATCAGAAAGGGGAGGAGGATGAGGAGGAAGAGGGGGAGAGGGAGATGGAAGAGGATGAAAGGAACATAAGAGGAGGATGAGAGGACGATGGACAGGGTACTGATGAGGATGGAGAGGATGAGAGAAGGATGTGGATAATGATTGGGAGGATGTTTTAGTTTAGTTTCCAGTAAGACTATTACTGCACTTGCAATACAATAAGGTCATACAAGTGCCAAAGATTAGAGGGGTTACAAGAGAGTAACAAACACAAAAAAGAAGGAGGAGAGATATAAGGATGATAGATGTGTGATAGCAATCCGCACCACAGCACCTGCTAATCATCCATTATGATTGGGAGGATGAGGATGTGTATGATGATGAGGAAGAGCATGAAAAGTAGGAAGAGAGGGAGGAGGAGGAGGATAATGATAGGGAGGATGAGAATGAGTACGAGAAAGAGCATATGAAGAGGATGATGAGGATAATGATGAGGGGGATGGGTATGCACATGGTGGTGAGAATTAGGAAAAAAAAGAGGGTGAGGATGAAAATTTGTAAAATGATGAGGATGAGAAAAAAGATGATGACTGAAAAGAGGTTTCACTTACAGCGAACTGCCCAGTGCCACCAGCAGCAGCTGAGGAAATGAGATAGAAAAAAATGTGAGGTAGCCTGGAGAAATCTGGCGCTCGTCAAAATAATTGGAAGTGAAGCAACTGGCATTTTCCCGCAGGTTTGTGAACTTTTATAGGAATATTTGTTTTTTAGCTCAACTGCTTTCGTGCCCAAGAACATAAGACTGTGTTGATTTTACTGAAAAACATTGATTAAAGGCTCGTAAAATGTAAATTTTCAGTTTCCAAGGACTCTCAAGCTAAGGAAATAACTCATTTTTGGCTATCATTTTCTCAGTAATTTTAACTCTTACACCAGGTGACCCCACCTCCTTCCTTTGCAAATATCTGGACTTCTATTCAAGATAAAGCGATATTTTTTTTCAACCAAAGCAAGACAAATGAACAAGCTTTAAGACGATACCAATAACTTTCCATGCACTATAATTGACAAGAGCCTGCTTCCATTGCGTTGTGACACAAATGTCACTTGATCTTGGAAAGTGGCAGGAGCTCATTGCAACTGTTTCACCACGTGTTAGTATTAGACGCTCGTCAGTTTTTTGGGCAAGTGGCATTATTGGTATCATCTTAAAACTTCTTCACTAGTCTTGCTTTAGGTAAAAAACATCCATCTATCTTGATTAGAAGTTGAGACCTTTCTTTATCAAACATCTATTGTCTTTATCTCTACTTTTTCTTTTCTTTGTATGTTGCTCTCAAGAAACATCTCTAATCTTCTGCACTTATATTATGACCTATTTTTCTTAAAAGCGCCCTAAAACTCTTAATAAAACTTTATAGAAAATCTTTGGTGTTCAAGCTTCTTTAACCGTAAGTCTCATGAACTAAAAAATCCCAACAAGGAAGCCTACCGGTTACCAGAACAGTCTTTCCAGCTGTGAGGTCTGCATCCTGGAACAAAGAAGGAAAAATCTTGAACCGTTGTGTAATATTAGTTTGCTCCAGGCCGGCTCCACTGAGGAATTCAAGTCAGATCAAAACCAAGCACATGCAGGTTTGAACAAAAATCCCAAAACAGCCAAAAGGGGTGCCAGCTTGTCAACAGCAAGATTCCCCCCCCCCCCCCCACCCCCCACCTCACCCTGTATTTATTCTATACTATTATTTTATAATTTCATTTTATTTTCATTTTTTTTTGGTGGGGGTTGGGGGGGGGGGAGGGGGAATGGGGAACTTTTCTACAGCTATATTGATTAAGTTCCATGATCCAAGCCTTACCTTCTCCAGAGCTATTGAGGCGGTGAGACCGCTGACCATGGCAGTCATATAGGCCGGGTCACAGGTAGGCACAGGGATGGCTGTCTCCTCTGGAACCACCTGCAGGGACAAGGAGAGGGCAGGGGGGATACTAGAGTGTGTGGCATCATAATGAAATCAGGCACTCATCAAAATAATAAAGTTGAAGAAATCAATATTTCTGCTCGTTTGGCAATTCTAATTGATTTTTTGTCTTTTTTTCTTGGAGAAAGGGAGGGGGGGGGGGGGGGGGGGGGAGAAGAAAGACAAAGAGAGAGAGAGAGAGAGTTCTTAAGAAAGAGGGGGGGGGTAGGCTCAACACTTTTTGTGTTCATTTTAAAACACATTTCTTTGAGGTTTGTTTCTGAAAAACATTAATAAAAGACACTGAGAAACGTAAATTTGTTGTTTTCAAAGATACTCAAGCTTTGGAAAAGATGAAACTTTAGTGGCCAATTTCTCTCTGATTTTACCTTTAACACTAGGCAATTGATAAAATATGTTGGAATAGCGGTTTCAACATATTGAATAAATAAAAACACAATATGTGTACTCAGTTCTACAATTAGCAAGAAAATGGTAAAAAAGTAGGGCCTCCAGGCTTTTTTCCATTACACAGAAAGAACATTTCAATTTGCGCACGGAGAAGACTTTACTTTTTAATCTATATAATACGATTGTAGTTATCATGAAGGGTTCCAGTGCAAAACGCACTTTATATATATGTACGCCAAATATGGGCAGTTCTGAAAAACTCCGTCCACTCCACAATCTTATGGTAAGAGTTATGATGAGGAAACTTTGTTCCTCAGTATGCTGGTCTTTATATCTCGATGTTTAGTTCGATAAAATTGCATTTCGTTTCTACTTTTTTTTCTAGAGAATTAGTTTTTGCCAATGTTCTCAGTTTTGTAGTGAATAGATGTAATGTGTTTTGTCATGGCACTTTTTACATTTCAAACCCACGCTCCTATTTTTTAAAAATAGAACAAAATTTTTATTTAGTATAGCTTTAGCAAGGTTTTACAGCTCTCCAACTGCATAAGGTCATATGACCGCCAAGGGGTGGATGTCAATAGAGAAGTCCAAACGGGGAATCAGGCTTATTCGGCTCACCTCTCTAGCTTCAACAGCACAAAGTCTGCTTCGACTATCATGGCACCCCGGAAATAGCAGTTCACAAGAGAGTGACAAATGTACAAAAGAAGTACCGGTAGAAGAAAAATGACGATAGTAAGGATGAGGGGAAAAAAAAGCAGCAGTTCCCAGTAAGTTGTTCCGGCACAGTATGAGAATGACATGGATAAATCAGCTTATTTACAGCTTTACAGTGCATAAGAACATGTTATTATCCCCCCTTTGAGAATGACCTAAAGACAACTTCAGTCAAGTAGCACTGCCCTGGTGTAAATGTAAATGTGACAAATGGCAGTACATACTAAATGGGTGAGGTTGTTTGAGTTACTATTCCATTGTGTGTAGAGTGAACTCAGGGGGCTCTTGTGCTCTAGAGGTTACGGTGTTTGCCTCTCATTCAATAGGTCCCGGGTTTGAAATCTGAGAGCAACGGACAATTTTCTTCTTTAAAATTTTCTCTTTTCACCTCTTTTCCTGCTCTCTTACCAAGTTCTGTCTTCTGCTTTTGTCTCCACTTTTTACCCCCCCCCCCCCAACCACCTTTGCCCCCTCCTCGGGGCTCCTGGCTCTATCTGCAGCCTTTCCTTGGCTTCTTCTTACTGCTGTCTTTCAGCCACATCCCTCATCTTAGGGTAGGTAAGATCTAACACCAAGCCTTCTCAGACAGTGACAAAAAATCTCAGAGATCCCACGTGAAAACTGCGCACGGTAAAAATCCCTCGGTGGTCCAAATTGATAAGAGTAGGCTTCGGCCGCCACCCAGGTAAAATTCAAAATTAATTTCTACTACACTGAAAATGTTTAATGTGTCTGGTGCACTCATATGACCATACGCTGTTGCGTGAACCATAACGCACTTACAAAAAGAGAAAACTCACTGTGTAGTCAGCAAACGATGCAAAGTTTAAATAGGTCACATTCTGGCCTGGGGTGAGGCTGGCGTCTGGGCCTACTGCAACCACCTCGCCTATACCCTGAAACACAAAAGGAGAGGGGAGGAGGACAGTTGCATGGTAAAGCAAATCACACTCATTTAAACATGCTAGAACCTGCTCTATTGGCCACCTTCCAAAACAAGATTTTAATTATCTTCGGATAAGTCGAGAAACAATACAGACACTGCAATTTAGCGGTCTCGCTGTTTCTCAGACAGATTTTCTGCCTTGTTATCAAAACTTAAGGTCAGCCTCGCTAAGTTGAGGCATCTTGTAATAGAAGAATTTAAATATTGTACTGTTATGAAAAATACTCTCGGAAAAAACAAAAACTGTGTATGGGTGTGAGGACCAACAACTATTCACATGTGTGTCCGAAGATCGAGCCAAAAAAACAAACATTATGTAGGTACACTTGTTACAAAACTGAAACATGTTTGTCTCTCTCATGAAAAAATTGCTTTCAAGCCTTATAAAGTACGTGTACAGCTTGACGATGATACATAATGTACTTTATATTTGTAGCCTAAAGAAATAATATTTTGCAGATTTGTTGGCAATTGATCGTACCTCAAAGCCGATAGGAAAGGGTGGTTCGCTCACTCCAAAGTAACGTCCAGCACTGAAATTGATATCTGAGGCGTTGATTCCGATGAATCTGAAAGAAATTAATTTATTTGAAACCACCTTGAAAACTTCATTTTAAGAGAAATAAAGAGCTTGCTTGCACTTTGTTAGTTTCCTGTTAGTCTGTTTTGTTTTGACCTATTTTTATTGTTGCCTTTGCTGTTGTTGTTTTGTTTTAAGTGAAGTTTGGTTTGTTTCTTTTTTGGGTGCTATTTCTTTTGGAGGGGGGGGTTTGTTGCTTTGAGGGAAGGAGAGAAGAGAGGGAAGAGAGGGAAGAGAGGGAAGAGAGGGAAGAGAGGGAAGAGAGGGAAGAGAGGGAAGAGAGGGAAGAGAGGGAAGAGAGGGAGAGGTGATGGAAAGTGTTTTTCTGCCATTATTGTGGTGATGGTTGGTTGTCGTGGTTGTGATTGTAGTGGTTCTTGCTGTGGTCGTTATAACTGCTGCTGCTTTTGTTATTATAATTGTTGTAGTTGTTGTTGCTGCTGTTTGTATATTATGCTGCACGCAGCTCTTGGGTGGGATATTCATATTACCCATAGAGTTATCTCCCTTTAATCCTAGTAGTGTAGAACCATATTAACGCCCGACTCCGACAGTCAGACCAGACCCGCCGTTTTCCGTCGGGTGCCGCCGACAATATTAACACCGGAGTTTGGCGGCCAGACGCCGCCGTTTTGCAAATATGGCGAGTGGTCTCTCTCTCGCCCTTTTTAACTCCCAGTGGAGCACAGGCCATAAACAGCATTACTCCAGCGAAGCCTGTCCTGAGCATCCTTTTCTAGCTGTTTCCATGATGTCCCCGCTTTTTCATTTTCCGCTTGTACCGCTCGCCTTCATGTCATCTTTGGTCTTCCCTTCTTACATTTTCCTTGTGGGTTCCGCATTAAAGCCTGCCTGATGATGCTTGTCGGGGGTCTCCTCAGGGTGTGTCCAATCCATTTCCATTTCTTCACCTGTATGTCTTCCTTTACTGGCTTTTGGCTTGTTCTTTCCCACAGTTGAGCATTTGTGACTCGATCGTACCACTTGATCTCCACTATCCTTCTTAGGCATCCATTTACAAAGCTCTGCAGTTTCCTTGCTGCTGATGCTGAGAGCCTCCATGTCTCTGAACCATACAGTAAAACATTCTTCACGTTAGTTTTGAAAATCCTCAGTTCTTTAGATATCCATATATTCCTGAGAATGATGAATGCTGCTCTTGCCATTTGGATTCTGTGGTAGAAGAAGAAAATTGCTGTTGTTGTTGCTTTTGAGACGCAGACAAAAAAGGCAAACCTAGACAGGAAGATTTTCAGTGTATCCCATCCAAAGAAAGCGTGAAACGCTAGGTGAATTTCATCATTTGTTTCCGCAGTTGATGGAAGATAGTGAAAAATTCCAACAATACTATCGCATGAAACACAGCACTTTCAATGAACTGCTAGAGATATTCAGAGCTGACCAAGAACTGCTAGAGATATTCAGAGCTGACCAAGAACTGCTAGAGATATTCAGAGCTGACCAAGAACTGCTAGAATTCTGTGTAGTATCATCGAGGCAAGAAAGGAGACAAACTAAGCCCAGATAACATCATTAAAATAACCTCCCATCTCGCCCGACGGACCGTCTTCGATATAATATTTTTTTAAACAAGTTTTATCGGAGACGGTCTGATCAGGGACGACACAAGACGTCGGACGTCAGTATGGTAGCCCCAACCATTTTTAGTTACCTTCCATTACTAAAGAGCCGGTGAGCATTCTTTTGTGCCCGATGACGGTCTCGTCTGACCGTCGTGTCAGGCGTTAATATGGTTGCAGCCTTAATCTATGATGTAAGGCGTAAGGCCTAGGCCTACCTGTTCTTTATCAGAACTTCTTTGGACTTGAGAGTTGGCACGGGGATTGTCTCAAACTTGGTGACGTCACGGAAATTTGTGCCCAGCTTTGTAACGATGATCCGTTTAATGGACGATACTGCTCTCGAAGAAGCCATTCTAGACACACATACAGAGAGAGCGAGAGAGAGAGAGTGAGAAAGATGTTTAGTTTTGAGGTAAGAGAAGCATCGTCATTATTTATCGAAGGGAAACAGCGAGATAGGCAAAAAATAAAAAGACAATAGAAGGAGAGAAAAAAGAGATTTGGAAAAAAAACCCACCCTGAAGTACGACGCAGCCAGTTGTTCAATGAAGAGTACATGAATACAGTGTACGTTGCCTACAGGCCACTGAGACCATAGTCAGAAGTCGTCTTGTTTTTGTTTTTTTCTGGTTTTTCTTTTGTTTTATTTTTTTTTATAGTAGAGGGTTTTACGGTTCTCGCAACTGCATAAGGTCATATGAGCGCCATGGGGTGGGTGTCAACAGAGAAGTCTTTACAGGGAATCAGACTTCGACTGCTCACCTCTCTAGCTTCAACAGCACAAGGTCTGCTTCGACTATCAAGGCACCCCAAAAAGCAGGTCACAAGGGAGTGACAAACATACAAAAGAACTACAGGGAAATGACAATAGTAAGGATCAGGAAAGAAAAATCAGCAGTTCCCTGTTGTAGATCAGCACAGTTATGAGCGTGACATGAATCAGCCCAATTACAATTCTACTTTACTTGAACGAGATATGTCCCCCCCCCCTTTGTGGATGGCCTAAAGACACTTCAGTCAGTGGCACTGCTCCGGGGGGGGGGGGGAGTTTTCTTTTCTTTGCTTTGTTTTTAATTTTGGTGTTTTTAACACCCCATCCACAAAATTAGTTCATTTAGGAGGTGCGCTTCGACCTTGCATGTCAATGCCAACCCGGATTGAGAGGGATGCAACATCCCAGTAGAGAGACTGGGATACGCGGAACTTGATAAAAATTCTCCCTACTCGGGAATCGAACTTTGGTCTCCTCTGTGCAAAGGTAAAGCCACTAACCGCTACACCACATCCGCATGCATGTACAGGAGCTGTACGTGTGAGTAAAAAAGAGGGGCCCAGCAACTTCAGAACAAGAAATAGCACGGTAGACTAACAAAAACAACAGTTGTATAGTGAGTAAAGTCCATTGATGAAGTTTGAAGTCTCTTTTTCTTTCTAATATAGGCATGCCATTGTTTTAGATTGTGTTCACGTTACAGGCGTCTCTCTCTCTCTCTCTCTCTCTCTCTCTCTCTCTCTCTCTCTCTCTCTCTCCCTCTTTCACTCTCTCTCTGAGTGTGTGTGTGTGTGCGCGCGCGCGCGCGCGCGCGCGTGTGTGTGTGTGTGTGTGTGTGTGTGTGTGCGTGCGTGCGTCTATTTATTTGTTTAATGTGTTTGAGCGACGATACTGCTGTCACTTATCCATCCATCCATCCATCCATCCATTTATCCATTCATATAATTATATTCATCCGTTCATCCATCCATCCACCCATCTGTCCGTCACCTGTTGATTCGCTATCGCCTCATCGTCTCTTCATCCATCCACGTCCTATCCATCCATCCATCCAACCGGAATTTGCAACGTGATTTATCAGAACCCTTCACCCTGACAGTTTTTTTCTCCCTGGAATGGGACGCTAAAAAATGTAGATTATCTAGACCTTTGTCGACACTCGACACATTTCAATTTCAGTGTGCGCCTGGCAACAACGTTTAACACACTTCACAAGGATGGACATCATAACACTGTGAGTGTGAGCCACAGGGACACGCGGGGGACGCCATTTGCGAGGTCGATTCCATCTACACAGTTTTTTTGTTCTTGTTGTTGTTGTTTGTTTGTTTTTGTAAGTGTTTTACAGCGTTCAAAACTGCATATTAAACATTTTCAGTTTGACAGAAATTTTGAATTTTCCCTGGTGGCGGCCGAAGCCCACTCTTATCAATTTCAGGACCACCAAGGGATTTTTAACATGTGCAACTTGCACACGGGACCTCCCACATTTTTCGACCTTTATCCGAGAAGGCTAGGTGTAGATTTTTCCTTCCATAAGATCATGGGTGCGGCTGAAAGTGAAAGACAGCAGCACTAAGGAGCCAAAGAGTAGCAGAAGAAAGACAACGGAAATAGTCAGGGTCCAAAGGAGGGGGCAATGGAAAAGGGGGGGTGGGGCAGAAAGTGGATATTAAAGCAGAAGACAGAAAATTATTAGAGAGCAGGAAAGGAGGTGAAAGGAGAACATTTTAGAGAAAATCATTTTCATTGCTACCAGGCGTATACCGTAACCACGAGACCACGAGAGCCCCGTTTTCTATACTGAGACGCCTCGGTTGTTGACAATCAGGAAAAAGAAGCGCACATAGACACAGCTAGGCTATGCAACAATACACCCACCAAAGCATGACATAGATCTACACATTGGTCGACAGACCCAGTGTAATAAAACCGATTGTGTGTGCCCGTCGACTGTATGGGGTGTGAACTTTGAGAGACCCGACGAAATAGTGTACATTTTACACACGACTTGTTTGTATCTCTTCTTTTTCTTCCTCTCACTATCTGGTTGTTATCCCCCCCCCTCTTTTCTCTCTCTCTCTCTCTCTCTCTCTCTCTCTCTCTCTCTCTCTCTCTCTCTCTCTCTCTCTCACACACACACACACACACACACATACACACACACACACACACACACACACACACACACACACACACACATATATATATATATATATATATAAACGCATAAACACACACACACACACACACACACACACACACACACACACACACACACACACACACACATACACACACACATTAAAAAAAAAGAAAAAACCTTGCACGTCCTCAAAACCAGAAATACCCACACACACAGATACAAACACATACACATACGAGTCAATACTTGAACATTGTACGTTCGTCAACTTGCTACTCACACAACCATAGACAAATAAGTTCGCCATAGCCATGAGATATATTATGAGCCTATGAATACACGGCCTTCCAAGTACCCTGCCTGACATTTAACCCACTGTGAGCGCTCATTCTGGTCATTTTTAATTTTTTTTTTTACTGCATAAGGTCATATGAGCGCACGGGAAACACCTAACATTTTCAGTTGGTAGGACATTTAGAACGTTGCCCGGGTGGCGGCCGAAGCCTACTCTTATCTATTTTGGACCACCCATGGATCTTTAATGTGCGCAACTTGCACACGGTACCTCTAAGATTTTTCGCCCTACTCCGAGAAGGCTAAGATTTTAGATTTTACCTACCATAACATCAGGGGTGTGGCTGAAAAACAGCAGTAAGAAAGAGCCACAGAGTTGCAGAAGAAAGGCTGCAGAAAGAGTCAGGAGCCCAGCGGAGGGGGCAAAGGAGGTGAGGGGGTGGTGGCAAAAAGTGGAGACGAAAGCAGACGACAGAACATTGTTAGAGAGCAGGCAAGGATGTGAAAGGAGACAATTTTAGAGAAGAGAATTTTACCGTCGCTACCCAGATTCGAACCCGGGACCTCTGAATGAGAGACGAACACCTTAACCTCAAGGCCACAGAGCGTGGGCGCTCATTCTGGTCTTTCGACAAAGCCTGAAGATTTGGGGACTACATGCTTAGAATACGTTTTCGTTGAGGATGTTTTCTTGACAAATACCGACTTCATTAATTATCCTGTTTTTGGGTTGATTTTGTTTTTTCTTTTTAAAATTCTGTTTTCTTTCCCTGAAACTTAAAAAGACAGGCACAAAACAACATGCATACTATTAAATATCATGCAGGTTGGAGGTTGTTTTGTTATTTTGTACTTCTCTTTTGTTGTTGTTGCTGTTGTTTTGATTTTATTTTCGTAAATTAATGTTGTGTACGATGGTTCAAAATGGGCCGTTGGGCTGCTGCTGATCGGACAAAAGAGTCCGCTTTGTCTTAAAATGTTGACGTCCACAACTGTTTGATACAATAGAGCAAAGTTTATGGTCAGCCTTTCAACAACTTAACTCCTCGTTCAAACAAGGCTTGTATAAGTATACTTACGACCTTAGAGCATGCATCAAAATAACATTGAGTGTGTATCTAGCTTACGATTATTATTGTTTATATTGCTGCTCATTTATATTATGCATGTGATTGTAAGCCTACTTGTGTGTGCATGTGTGTGCACGTGTGTGCTTGTGTGTGTTTGTGTGTGTGTGTGTGTGTGTGTGTGTGTGTGTGTGTGTGTGTGTGTGTGTACACGTGGTGGAACACCAAACCAATGTGCCAGGATCTGGACAATAAAGATGTATCTTATCTTAATAGGCGGTGCCCATTACGGAGTTAGTTCGGTTCGGGTCGGTTCGGGCCGTTTTCTGATGGTTTCAATGCATACTAAAACATAGACCCTTGCTGTGACTGTATCTGACGACCCTCGTTCAGTCGCGGGGTCTATTTTGTAAACGAACGTTATCAAAATAACAACAACCTACCGTTGACAGAATAGGAGAAGAGAAATTTAATGAAAACCTCAAGAGGCTCCATAATTACTGTCAGAAATGGAAGCTCAAAATAAACTGCACGAAAACAGTATCCACTATCTTTACAAGGAGCCACAAAACAGTCAAAGAAAAACTCCAACTAAAGATAGGAAATGAACATCTCCCAAAAGAAGAACACCAAAAATAACTAAGAGTCAAACTTGATCAAAGTCTGACCATGAAAAGCCAGGTGGAGAGCATAAAGAACAAAGCGAAAAGAAGACTCCAACTTTTAAAGAAACTGGCAAACAGTTCATGGGGATCAGACAAACAAACTCTGAGAGCTCTATACCTTGGTTATGTCCGATCTTCCCTGGAATACAGCAATAACCTACTCACTATGTACAGTACAACTACTTGCAATACTCTTGACAAGGTCGAAAATAATACCTTTCGTTTCATAAACGGTGGCATGAGATCTACACCTACTGCCCCAGGTGAAATTCTTTTAAATGTTGAACCCCTGAGAATTCGTAGAGATAAAGCAGTTTTGGAGCTCCGTGAAAGAACCAAAAGAATGTGCCCCAACCACCCAAACAGGAAATTAGTAGAAACATGGAAACCAAAGAAACGACTTCGACAAAAATCAATCATGATCAAATCACGGAACTAATGGAGAGTCACCATCTACCACAAAACAGAAGAGAAACTAAAAGAGTCAACCGAAACATTCTTCCCTACTTTCTTTAGAAAAACCAATCCGAGCAACATCTCTCAGAGAAAATAGCACAACATCTTCAAACCTAGTGACGTCGATGCTTGCTTCACATTTAACAATCGACAGCTATTCAGATGACAGGATACACGTCTGTACAGACGGCTCAGCATTCAGAGGCACAACCACAGCCGGAAATGGAATACTAATACAGTACCCAGATAGAAGTTCCAATCAGATCTCTGCAGCCTGTGGAGAGAAATGAAGCAACTACGATGCAGAAATGATGGCAATTGATGCCGCATTATTCCATCTCCGCACAGTTTTTGACATTCACCCCCCAAAAATGCAGAGTGTTGTGATTTTCACTGACTCAATATCAGTCTTGCAAGCGATAGAAAATGACCATCATCTAAACTAAGACTTGACGCATATTATAATGTTTGGCTCCCATCACCTGATAACATCCTGTGACGTCAACCTGGTGATGCTATGGATTCCCTGACAATCAAACTTAGTACCTGGAAATGACAGAGCAGACACACTTGCCAAAAGGGGATCCACCATTCCAACTTCATACAACACTGCAAAACAAATCATTAAAAGCAACAGCAAACAAGATTGGAAGAACAGATGGGCCTTGGGAGAGACAGCCAGAGCAGGTTTCAAACATATGACCACAACAAAACAAAATGACAATTTATTATCAACCACATACAGAGAAAGAAACAGACCACGATCTTCCGCCCACGGACAGAACATAATTATACAGCTCAACTTTCACTTGAAAAGAATAAAACCAGAATTTACCCCACTGTGTCCTATGTGTGACTATACATACGAGACTGTGGAACATCACCTTTTCCACTTTACAGCCCTAAATGACATCAGAGCTACACTTCTCCCTCCGAGACCTACCATCGACAATACACTCTACAGAACATTACAGCAACTGCAGCAAACCTGCACTTATCCCTACATGGCATTGGACAGAAGGGCGAGAGCCCAGCTGCTGCTGGATCGATAACAACAACAACAACAACCGTGACAGAAAAGCCATACCCTAAAACGATGGCTTAAACTCCAAAATAGTATTTATATTCAAAAGCAGAAATACATGTACCATCACTCACACACTTAACACACACTAGAATATAGAAATAGATGGCCAATGAACAATAACTCCTTAATCAACCTTGGTTGTAAACAAACACAAAAGAGACGAATTGAGAGACACAGCTGCGTATGAGCCTAATTTCCGCCTAAATATGAATATAACATTATACACATAATGACAGACAAACTCTGTACGGTTCTGTACAGGTCGTTGTCCTTCAACAAGCATGTGAATCATGTGGTAACAAAGGCCAAACGAGGTGTTGGTGCAATCAAGACCATGGCGGCCG